TTTCCTTCCTCCGTGCTGCACCCACAGAGATAAAGTTGTGCAAGCAGAAATCCTCAGGAAGTGCTAGACTCTACACCTGTTTCAATGGCAAAGTGCATTCTCATTTTCTGATAGCCCCCCCCCCCAAGAAAAACCAATGCTTACATGTATGCCCAACTTTATCTATTATTACACATGTACATGTACTACAAGTATAACATTGAAGAAATTTATACTATCAAAGAAAGAAATGACTGTTTCCTGCTTGTTTGTTAAAGAGAATGTACAACATTTGCTTTTGCTGCAATTTTCAGAAATAAATGGGTTTGGAGGATTAGTATGTTTTAGCAAATATTATTACACTGATTTGTTCCATGTTTTGGGTTCGTAGATGCTGGAAAAATCAAGTAAACCAATCATATTCTTGTAGTCTGGTTCCCTGACCCCACTTAAGATGAAACGGAGCAACTTATAGACTTTGGGGAATTGTAAGATGAGAGAATCAGTCTAGCAGGCTTGTAGTCTTCACAGGTGTGTGATCAATTGTAAAGAAAATGCAGACAAACTAAATATGAAAAATTAGGAGCACTTTTTGAAAAAAGGCCAGTTTTTTCCAACGCTGGTCGGCCGACCAGCGTTGGAAAAATACAGTTTTTCTTGAAAATTTTAGCACACCAGGAGCCACAACTTTACAGGATGCTTTAGACTGCCATTCCCTAACAATCCAGTAAGACATTTTGTGATAATTTGATCAGTTCGTTTTTTTGATGTTTGCAAACGTTGTATCTTCCCTTTTAACATTGTATAATTTTCAACAAGACAATTTGACACTTAAAAAAATCATGCAGAGGAATATGACTAAATTAAACTCTCATTACAAATGTAACATAAATTAAGGAAATAAATGTGTGAGTGCGAGGGGGGGGGGGGCGCAGTACAAACTAGGGGGGTCAGTTTCGGGTCAGTTTGCCTGCTTAGTTTATTTTTTATAGGGTGGTGTTATATATTACAGGGACAAAGGAAAACACAAAGCATTGTCCTCGGGAGTACAGTAAAACAAGAGTGCGTGTTCATCTACATGTCAACCATTTTTGTGAATGGTTTGGAAAGTTACATACTTTCTCCAGACATTTTGACCACAAATGTGTTTTTGTGTGTTTGACAGAAAGCTTGGACCATGTGTGGTAAAAGAATAGGACACAGAGGTTCAATCAGAACCACAAATTTTACCTTTTACACATTGCAACGAACCATAAAATGACCATTGCTTACATTGCATTTTATATGAGGGTGTCATTTGTATTCTACAACACAACTTCACAAAAGGCAAAACAGGACGGTGGACCAGTTCTGAAAAGGATAGGGCCTTGAAAAGAGCGAGACTATGCCGACATGTATAAATGTACAAAATGCACAAAAGAAGATACAACATAATCAATGGCCATTCTTGGGAATCACTCGGCAATCAACATAACAAAAAGTGCTGTCCACAGCCCACTATTCAAGGTGACAAAACAATGTTCAGGGCAAAACTTCAGCTTTTTCAAGGCCAGATTCCATGTTATGTACAGTACGTACATATGTACATACACATGGAGAAATAAACAGGGCCATCTTCAAATCAAAATCTTTTGACTGTCACTTAAAAAAATGAATTATTTACAAAATAAATCAACTTTGATAGAAATCAGTTTTGTATTTTCAGTTATCAATATATCAATCGGCAAATTTGTATCTTTACCAGTTGTTTACTGTCATAAGTGATAATCATCATTTTTTTAACCCTAATCCCCTAGGCCCTTTTTGCTAGGAGCCATCCTCAATCCTCCAAAATCCTCCAAAATCCTCCAAAATTGGGCACTAAATGTTCAGATGAAGAATACCCAGCGTTTCAATCCTTCAAAATCGTCAGACAGTCCTGCCTCTCAAAATGCATTCATCCTCAATCCTCCAAAATCCTGCTCCTCTTAAAACACCATTCATACTCGAGCCTCCAAAATCCTCTTGTGCTTCAATCACCATTCATCCTCAATCCTCCAAAATCCTCATGTGCTTCAATCACCATTCATCCTCAATCCTCCAAAATCCTCATGTGCTTCAATCACCATTCATCCTCAATCCTCCAAAATCCTCCAAAACTGCCAGGAGATTTTTGGAGGATTGAGGTGGGTTAGGGTTTTATTTTTGATAATTATTAGTTTGGACAGTCATACATGTAATTATTTTCAGAATTGTCCTTTTACATCAGTAAAAAAAAATTAAAATCAACAAATAAATAAAAATTAGTGTTTTTATCATAATTTAAATTTATCATTATCATACACTCTCCTTTATAGTTTGCAATTCTCTTTTAAAGATTGAGTTTCAAAATTAATATCAATGAACATCATCATATATTTTTATAGGTGGGCGTTGCCATTAGCTAACCCTAACCGCCCTGAATCCTCCAAAATCCTTTTTGCAAATTGGAGGATTTTGCAGGATTGAGGTTACATGGCAAAAGTGCGTTGCTGATTTCGGAGTACGCACTGTGTCAAGGTCTTGGGCTCGACCTTGTGTTGTTTATGCTCAGCCGTGCATAAATTTAGTCCTTGATTATACTTGACATCCTCCGCACTGCTCCAAGATGTCACTGCCTCTGCCTCAACCTATTGACAGTCAGAGCCGGAGGATTTTGCAGGATTCAGGCAGTGGTCACCCCTCCATGGACCATATTCAAGAAATAGCGGAGGAATTTGCAGGATTGAGGCTATATGCAATTTTTCCATGGGACCAATTGGAGGATTTTGCAGGATTGAGGCTACATCCTAGCAAAAAGGCTTAGGGAGTTAGGGCTGAAATTAGGGAGTTGTTTACATTGGCTAGTCTAGCTCTATGCACATAGCAACCGACGAAAACTGGTCATGTTGGTGTGTAAATAAAATTCATTTGAATAGATTTTTTCATCGGATGATAATGACATCTATGATAGTCATGACATCAGCCAGCCCCACCTATCATCATCGATATAATCACAGTTTAGCCCCATAAATGTGGCCAATTTACTGGACTACCTCCGTAAATAAAGGCCGCACTTCCATCATGTACAGAAACATGTAGAACTTTGTCAAATTTTGTTTTTCACATTTAGTCTTAGTTTGTAAGTTACATGTATTTTTGCTTTAGAAGCATACTCACCCTCTTTATAGGCTAATCAGAAAGTGCTGCCTTTTTCAGATGTCTATTTTTTGTGAAATTTCATGTTGAAATTTTGATACGCAAACGTGTGCAAACAAATCTGAAAATTTCACAAAAAATAGAGATCTGAAAAAGGCAGCACTTTCTGATTAGCCTGTAAAAAGAGGGTGACTACATGTATGCTTCTTAAAGGGAATGTACATCATTGGTTTTTGCTGTAATTTTCAGAAATGAACTATTTGAGGGGTAACTATGATAGATCAATTATTGTTACACTGACATGTTTGAAGTTTTGTGTTCGAAAATGCTGGAAAAACCAAGAAAAACACAAATGGTGGAGTAGTCTGGTTCCCTGACTCCACTAAAGATAAAATGGACCAATTTATAGATGCCGGAAATTTGTAAGGTAAGGGAACCAGTCTAGCTGGCCTGCACCCGTTCATGAACATGTTACCAATAGCAAACAAAATTTGGACTGAAAAAATGGTGAAGTCAGAGCAGTAGTTGAAAAATAGTTAGGTTTTTCCAACGGTGGTCGGCTGACCACTGTTGAAAATTTATACAAAAATACAATTTTCTTGAAAATGACTGCACACCAGGTGCCATAATTTTACAGGATGCTTTAGACTGTCATTTACCAACATCCTAGTAACGTATTTCATAAAAACTTGGTAGTTTTATTTTTCGATGTTTGCAAATGTTGTATATTCCCTTTAAGCAAAAATGAATTTCAAACTAAGCCTAAATGTGAAAATCAAAATTTGACAAAGTTCTACATGTTTTTGTACATGTTCCAAGTGTGGCCTTTATTTTTATGGAAATTACGGACATGACGGTAGTGCAGTAAATTGGCCACATTTATGGGGCTAGTCCATGACATCAGCCAGCCCCACCTATCATCATCACTATGGAGGTGGGTCCAACATGTCCAAGCACAGTTCAACGGTTCAACTTCCAACAATGCAACATGTTCAAGCGTCAATTAATTTTGTAGTGTCATTGACTGAGGTCAACATAATTCAGAAATAATTAAGCTCAAATATCACAAGGGAAACTGTATCATTATCAAGTTACTTTTACTCACCATCTTGTCTATTGGGGATTGATGTCTTTTCCACTATTGCAAACCAACCGGGTCTTGTCAATCACTCGGTCTCCAATAACATTCTCACTCGCACTCCCAGTACAGTCAGCAAATTTAACCCGATCCATTCAGTACTTCCGGGATCATGTTGGAAATTTGGAGCCACAATTCTACTTCACTCGATCTCCAAATTCTTCTTTCAAATGGAGCTACGATTTCACAACACGCAACAGATTCTTATATTCCTCGGTTGTATCATGTCATAGCTGATTAGATGAGGAACAATTGGACGAATTAGTCGGCAAAAAATCTGGACACAAGTTGAGTCATCCGCCCGCGCCGCTCATCGCTCAGATGTGTTCATGGTTCATGCGTTATAATACAAACAGTCTGGCTCTCAACCCCGGTCTTACAATTCGAGATTCGCTTCAAATAATTAAGAAATTAATGACAGTCGTTTGGATACCATACAAGACGTGTATTCCGTATATTCTTTACGACTGTTTTATGTCGCAATATTTTGATGCACTTATCAATGAAAATTATAATGTAATTCATTAATATTTGACCTATTTTTCCCATTCGAAGTGCTTCTTATTTAATTAACTCAAGTACTATTTAGAAAGCATGGTTGGACGACAAATATAATACAATCTTACAATTCGAGATTCGCTTCAAATAATTAAGAAATTAATGACAGTCGTTTGGATACCATACAAGACGTGTATTCCGTATATTCTTTACGACTGTTTTATGTCGCAATATTTTGATGCACTTATCAATGAAAATTATAATGTAATTCATTAATATTTGACCTATTTTTCCCATTCGAAGTGCTTCTTATTTAATTAACTCAAGTACTATTTAGAAAGCATGGTTGGACGACAAATATAAAAGTGTATATTTCAGAGTTTTTGACGTATTTCCGATGACCACTCAAACTCAATAAAATTTGACATAAATTTAGTGTGGATGCATTGTGGGAATTTCTCATATCTGTCGCCATTTTGACGCTTGAGTGATGTTTTCTACGGCAAGATGACAGCGTTCCGCTTCAGATATTGTAGTTTTTGAAAGGGCAGCGTTGTTTTGTATAGAGGCGTTTGCAGCCAGCACGATGAGCACACAGGTAAAGGGGAAAAGAATTGGGAATTCGACCTTTAAAATGGAATATTTGGAACGATTGCTATTTTTATTTTGTGATGAATGCAAAACGTGCTGACGCTAGGCTAAACTTTTTTTTTTGTAAACACTAAAAGTAAAACAGTATTTTTTTTTCAGACGTTACAATGTTCTGGTAGGCCAATCGCTGTTTAACAGAATAGGCCTCCAATAACATGAATAATAGTAAAAATGTACAGAAATATTGGCGATCGTGTAGTGTAGGGCCTGGTTCCTATAAAAAAGGGAACAAAATCCACTTAAAATTATTGGGCCTACCAAACTAGTTGGCAACATTCTCAATAAACAGGTAGGGCCTATGTCATAGATAAAGGGCAGGGTTTTGATTTTTTGAGGGAAATTTGGGGGTAAAATGACGATGACAGCGCGGCAACAACACGCGACCCGAAAATAAATATGGCGATCACCGCGCGATGTACCGTGAGCACGCATGGCGCGCTGAATCGCAAGGCACAAACTGCGCAGGAAAATCGTGATTTCTTCCCCAAGAATCTGTTCAAAATTGCAAACGGATGGCATTAGAATTGAGAAAAGTCTGCTTTCGATTGTAAAGGTGATTTTTGAGCAATACAAAACATTTTTCCTCTAATTTGATCAAAACAAAACAGGGGCCCTACACTTCACTATCGCCAAAGTATCAGTAAGACAGTATCATGTATATATTCATGATTTATATATCGGGTGACATCTAAACACGCTAGTAATTAATCCCTCGTGCCTTTTGTTAGGGAGTTCAGCTTTTGGATTATTTTCATACAACCCTTGAAAATTTTGTGTCACAGGAAAGAGAATCACACAACAAAATCAAGAACGTTTGAATCTTTTCATACTACGAGCTTGCGTTTTGGAGATATAACAATTTAAATGGCAATTTAATCCAATGAAAACATTCTGTAATTGTAAGTGTCAAAATTATTATTTTAACACCTCTAAATTTTTGCACAAAATTCCAAACTTATCAAAGTGTTTAGTGGTCATGGTGGTTAGGAATCCTTAAAAAATAAACAATAGGCCTACCGGTAGTTTGATTTTTGAATCAGCTTTTTATCTCTCATTACCAAAAAGTTATGATTTTTTTCCCCCTTAACACCGCATGTTGAACAACAAGTCCGAGCATTTTGCCTTTTGCGAAAATCAAACTTTTCGGGAAGAATAATCCCGGGGTGAAGTGGTTTGCAAGTAATTTTTCTGGGAGTAATTGCAGAATACCCCGCCATGCACTCGGAAATACACCCCTAAATTCTCTGGCTATGAGGTTGGAATCACTGGAAAAGAAACAATTCAAGTCCATGCCAGCTACGCGGATACTGAGTGGGGGTCCATTATTTGAGAACGAAGCAACACAAAAGGAATGGGAGTTGCTGAAAAAATTCTAAGTCCAAACCAACTACCCTGTTGGCGGCTACGCGGTTACGAAGTGGGAGTGCAATGGAGCATGACGCATAGTACATACAAGTAGCGCTGAGAATGTTTATTGAGGTCAACCAACCGTGACCTCGTAGCCGGCTACGAGGTGGATAGATCGAGTGGCGGGGTATTCTGCACTTGTGCCTTTTTCTGCGCTTGAGGCCTTGTAGGTTTGAGAGAAAAGACGATACACTCCGCTCCACTTCATCAAATAGGATTGCTAATGCTTCATAACGTCAATTTTTCCCATTCCGTCACACAGAGCGTTCAGGTCAAGTTGGAGCTTGGCCACCGAGCCAACATTCGTGACAAGCCCACGCCTCAGGGATTCACTCATGACTGGATGGTGTTCGTCCGGGGCCCAGAGGGCAGCAACATCCACCATTTTGTGGATAAGGTCGTCTTTCAGCTGCACGAGAGCTTCCCAAAGCCCAGAAGAGGTATAAAAAATGCAGTGGCTATCGTTACGGCAGCCGTAACGCATTTCCCATTTTCTATCGTTACGGTAGACTGCAACTTTGATAAAAACATGAGAAGAAAATATAAAATTAGGAGGAAAAAAAGTGAATTTGAACGTTATGAAATTCGGACTTTATTTCCCTTTTTAAAAAAATCCTCCAAGCCTCAGGTTAGAAAAGGAAAAAAAATTGAGTGCAAAACTGAGATGCGAACCCACAACCTCGCGGTGCAAAATCCTACCCTCTACTGACTGAGCTGTAGTTCTGCTCGCTAACACGTGGCGAAACAAATAATTATATACCTGCGTGCGTATCAAAAAAGTATCGTAGAGGGCGCTAAACAACGGCTGCCGTAACGATAGCCACTTCGTATAAAAAAATTACCCTGATTCTTAGGCCGAGTAGAAAAAATAAATAGTTTCTGGTCCGGTCATCACAAGTCAATCACAAGTCAATCACAAGTCAATCACATGTCAACCACAAGACATCAAAAGTCAATCACAAGTCATCACAAGTCAATCACAAGTCATCACAAGTCATCACAAGTCAATCACAAGACATCAAAAGTCAATAATCACAAGTCATCACAAGCTATTGCAAGTCATGGCAAATCAGTCACAGTCATACGTCATCATCACAAGTCATCATTAGTCAATCACAAGGCATCAAAAATCAATCGCAACTCGTCACAGGTCATTGCAAGTCAGTCACAAGTCAGTCACAAGTCAAGCCAAGCCTAATCTATCCAACGTTGTTCAAGAACCATTTGTGGCATTTTTACTTTCGCTGTTTACGTAAGTCTTTTTCAGACAACTTGTCCCAAGAGCAAGAGGGCGGATTTTCCAAATTGGTAGATAGATTCTTCCATTTTCTTGACTCTTTCGCTGATACTAAATTGAGTCCAAAGGAGTCATAACCCTTTCTACGATTATACGTGTACATGTAGCTACAGTCTTGTTGGAAACAAATTTAAAAGACATATAATTGACAATATATTTGCAGAATATATTGCAAATGTATGAATTTTAGAAAAAAAGGAGGCGGGCAGGAAAAAGGAAGCGGATGGAGATGAGAAACTGGTTTATTTTTTTACTTGGCCTAAAGAGTAATCAGGTCATCACAAGTCAATCACAAGTCATCACAAGTCATCGCAACTCAATCACAAGTCATCACAAGTCATCGCAAGTCAATCACAAGTCATCACAAGTCATCGCAAGTCAATCACAAGTCATCACAAGTCATCGCAAGTCCATCACAAGTCCATCACAAGTCATCACAAGTCAATCACAAATCCATCACAAGTCATCACAAGTCAATCACAAGTCGATCACAAGTCATCACAAGTCAATTACAAGTCATCACAGTCAATCACAAATCAATCACAAGTCAATCACAAGTCAATCACAAAGCATCATAAGTCGATCACAAATCATTCCCAGGTCGATAACTAGTCAATCGGAAGTCATCACATGTCATCACAAGTTACCACAAGACAATTACAACATCAAATGTCAATCACAAGTCATCAAAATTAATGTCAATCACAAGTCATTATAAGTTATCAAAAGTCAATCCCAAGTTATCACGAGCAAATCATAAGTTATCACTTGCAAATCACAAATCATCACAAATCAATGACAGTCATAAGTCATCCCAAGTCGTCATAAATCAATCACAAGGCATCAAGAATCAATCACAACTCATCACAAGTCAATCACAAGTCAAACCAGCCAAATGTATCCAATATCGTTCCAGAACCATTTGTAGCATTTTCCCCATCTCTATTTTCATAAACCTACTTCCTACAACTATTTTATGTACCGTTCCATCCCCAGTCGTCAAAGAGCCACCGTATGAAGTCGCTGAATCGGGCTACGCAGGCTTCCTAATGACCATCGAGGTTCACTTCCGATCCAAGGAAGAGCCCAAGAAGGTCATCTTGAACTACGACCTCTTCTTGAACACGGAGCAGCAACCTCCGGTCAACCACATCCGATGCGAGAAGCTGACCTTCCACAATCCGACCGAAGACTTCCGCAGGAAACTGCTCAAAGCCGGAGGGGTAAGAATCAGTACCACAACCCAAAACCCTCATGGGGATTTACCCTTTCCTTACCATGGGCGACTTTTGTCGACAAGAAGAACCCCCCTGCTGGTTCCCATGGGCGACTTTAGTCGACCAGGAAACCACACACAGAACACCTTCAACACAGATTATTTACTACTTTTCAGAAAGGCGGCATGTTGATATGTTTGGCCGTCCATACATCAACCATATACCAGCTGAAAGAGTGTTTTCGGATCGTTCTAATGGTCTAGTTTATTCATAGTGTTGCCATTACAAAAAAAATGAGAAAAGTGCTTCAGAAGTATCCACGCACAAATTGAGGTATGGAGAGCCATTCGGTCATGTGGTGAAATGGCTTGCAGTTTGATAAATGGAACCAGATGAACAAACAGGCATAACTTTCTTATATTTACACACATGGACTACATTGTTACATCACATAAAAGAGTAGGGTTCAAGGAACAAACTTTACACACAACACCTATGACTTAAATCACTCCTTGGCAGTGAAAATCTGGGTTGAAAAAAGTGAGTTTTGGACTTGTGGTCATTTTGTTCACGCTCTAGTGATTTCCGCATGACTGAGCAAACAATTTGGTCCTGGGGAGAGCCAAGTCAATAAACAATGTGGTAATGAAAGGGTTAAGCCTCGAAACCCTGCGAAACGCATCAACAAGATGTCATGCTTGTTGAAAGGAGAAGCCTGCTTAGTCTAACTAAGATCCCATAAAACCCTACGGCCAAGCTGCGTCTGAGTCTGCGGGCCCCAACTTCAGCACAATACAACAACGGCATTGTTCGTTTGGACTAGCTCTCAATGCCTCAGAATTTGTCCATGGCCCAATGAACAGTGTTGCATCGTGTGTTGGGCTGTGCATCAGAACCGGGTACCCGACCATTAGGCCAAAAAAAAAAATATTTGGTCTCTGGTCAGACCAAAGTTCCGGAATTGACGCGGCCACGTGGTTTTTTTTTTTTTCTTCAAGCTTGGATTGTACAGACAAGGTGGGGTACTATTTTGCTTTTTTTGGTGTCCTCATGTACATTGGTGTCCTCCATAATTTGCCTTGGTGCTTTCGATCATTTGCCTTGGTGCAATTTCCCATTCCTTGGTGCTCTTTGGTAAAAAAAATTGAGGAGGTGCGGAAAAAGAGGGCGCTGTTGGAGCTACCGTGGAACATTTTGGAAAAAAAAAAGATCGACCGCATGATTAAAATCGACGCGCGCGCTGACCAGAGACCGACTTATTTTTTTGTTTGGCCTTAATGTCAGGAACCGGTCCTAGATTATTGGATCGGGGCACCCGTAACCAACTTTACAATTACCGAGTAATTTCTCGCATAATGAACAAGAAAGGTTTTGAATTTTTTTTTTTTTGGTAGGGATTTTTCCAAATGAAAATCAGGCTACAGGGAAAACAAAACGTATTTCACGTTTACGACGCGCGCCAAAAAAGTTGCACGTTACACCATAAAGCTCACTGTACACACTTGTATCTTGCTGTATTGACGCACTGATGTGGTAGTACTATCGTGCAGACCTTTATGAACAATCTCAACAGCAACTTATGAGATTTATGAGATTTTTTGGTAGGGATTTTTCCAAATGAAAACCAGGCTACAGGGAAAACAAAACGTGTTTCACGTTTATGACGCGCGTGAAAAAGTTGCACTTTACACCATAAAGCTCACTGTACACACTTGTAACTTGCTGTATTGACGCACCGATGCGGTAGTATTATCGTGCAGACCTTTATGAACAATCTCAACAGGAACTTATGAGATTTGAAATCGGTGTTGACTTTATTTTGACGGTCACCCGGGTACACACTTTTTTTCCGTTCAGGAATCCGGTCTCCGAACTACCCGTAAATGCACACCCCTAATCGTGTAGGGTTGTGATGTAAACCTTCCAAAATCCTGCAAAATCATCTTTGCAAAATGAAGGATTTTGCAGGATTGAGGCTAAATGGCAAAAAATGTGTAGCCGATTTTGGAGGATGCACTGTGTCAATTTTGGAGGATGCACTGTGTCAAGGTTTTGGGCCGGACCTTGTGTTGTTTATGCTCAGCCGTGCATAAATTTAGGCTTAGATTATACTTGAAATCCCCGCACTTCTCCAGGATGTCACTGGCTCTGCCTCAACATATTGACAGTGATTGCTGGAGGATTTTGCAGGATTCAGGCAGTGGTCACCCATCCAAGGACCACATGCAAGAAATAACGGAGAATTTTGCAGGATTGAGGCTGTATGCAATTTTTACATGGAGACTATCGGGGGATTCTGCGGGATTGAGGTTGCATCCCAGCCAAAAATGCCTAGGGATTTAGGGTTAATTTTACACGCATTCTATTATCATCAGGTTGGCGTGTTGCCTACCGACCCCGGCATTCCTACCTCTCCTACGACGCCGCCCAATTTCCCGGTGTCAGAGGGCGGGATTGGAGGCAAACCCCTTCCGCCTTCGTTCAGCGACTCGTCCCTGTATGCCAAGGGCAAGCCCCAAGCCGCTGCGCCCAGTCTACAGGTCAACAAAAAGAAGACACAAGCAGCGAAGGTCAGAACAGAATTCAATCTTTTCCATAACGTCATTTGCCATTCCGAAAACAGGGGGAGTGGGTGGGTATTAGATAATCGATTTTACATTTTAAGATAATTTAACATAAAGTGCACGCACTTAATTTGGCTTCGATACCAAATTGGGTCCAAGTCACAAATGAATTTTCAGACGTTTTTGGAGTTAGTAATTTATTTTTGCATCTATAATTGGGGTGACGTCAAACATGGATTTTCAGATACAAAAATTTGGGGTGTACTATTGTTTTGGCATCTAAACTAAATCAGGGTGAGGTTGCACTGAATTTGAAAGCGTCTACAGTTGCAATAAACAAAACACGAGGCCAAATTTCTTCAATCTCAATGGAGGCTGTTCTTTTGTTAATTTAATCAGCTTGGGCCCAAGGCATTCTTAAGACACTCTTGAGGTTAAAATATATGTCAGGTTGCTTTTTGTAAGAAGATGTGACCCATGTTGTAACTTTTTGCAATTTCCGTCTGATTTCACCAGGATGGCAGTAAAACTTCGTCCAAGCCTGTGAAGGATCACAAGGAGGTTAAAACTGCCTCTAAGGAGCCCAAGACATCATCAAAGGAGCCCAAAACGGGCTCCAAGGAACCTAAAACAAGCTTCAAGGAGCCCAAACCTGGTCCAAAAGAGCCCAAAACAGGCTCCAAAGAGCCCAAAACAGGCTCCAAAGAACTCAAAACAGGCTCCAAAGAACCCAAGTCCAGTAGCGGGAAGGATTCTAAGGTTGGAAGTAAAGATAGCAAGACTCCTGTGAAGGATACCAAGTCTGGCTCTAAGGAGCCCAAGTCGGGCTCCAAAGAATCCAAAACTAGCCCCAAACCACCCCCTAAAGATTCCACTAAGACTAAACCCAGTGCCAAGCGGCCTTCCTCTACCTCACCAGCTCCTGCCCCAACATCTCAGGACTCTGCCAAGAAACGGAAACGGAAGGACTCAAGCGACAGAGGTCCGCATGAAAAGAGCTCCTTGGCTAAGCCTTCTCCTGCAGAAAAGAGCTCTTCAGGAGATAAAGCCAAACAGAAAGAGAAACCTAGTAAACCAAAAACTGCAAAGCCAGCTGTGAGCCGGAGCGATGCTGGACTTTTTACTCCTGAAATCTGTATCTCAAGGAAGCCGTCGAAGATGGCACCTGAACCTCCTAAGGAGCTACCTCCGTTTGAGGATGAGCTGAGTACGGGAGAAGGCGGGGAGGCGCACAGCCCTAGCTCCAGCATCAGCTTCTCTTCCTTACCAAGAGGAGGTGGGGGAGTCTTAAACACCCTCATGGCAGAACTCGGAGACGAGAATGATGATGATGACGATGATCAAGACATCGGTCTGCCATACAGGAAGACTCCATCTCCGATCCCACCGCTGCCACCACTCAGCAATCACTCCACCTCATCCAATGAACAAGGCTACGGGAACTTTCCCTCAGTGACACCTGCTGCTTCAGACAAAACTAAAAGCACCTCAAAATCAAGCAGTAGTAAAAAGAACAGCACCAGCAACGGCTCAAAGAAAAACAGCTACAGTAGCAAAGGCGAACGGAAGCAAAAGGGCAGCGACTCAAAGCAAAAGAGCACAGACGCTAAACAGAAAACTCCAGAAGCCAAACCAAAGAGCTCTGATGGGAAGCAAAGAAGCTCTGAGAACAAATCCAAAGCGGTGGACACTAAGCCCAAACATGCTGACAAAAAATCGAGTGATTCCAAACCGGCCAAAACCAACGAAGGAAAACTCAAACATGCAGATTCAAAACTCTCCAAGGGGAACCAGAGTTACCTCAACGACTTGGTTCTCTTACACCAGAAACTCAGCCACTTGCAAAACCGGGACCAGTTGCAGAGAGTAGTAGACCTAATCGAGGAAACTGGACTCTTTAACATAACGGATGCCACGTTTGACTTTGACCTCTGCTCCCTGGATCAAACAACGTTGCGGAAGCTACAGGAATGTGTGTCACTGTTTGCGTAGTGCAGGTCAGCTTGATGGCTCTAGCTCTCCCATCCCACTTCTGCCACCATTTATTAGTCTCCTCTCAAGTCGTTAATGCCTTTATACAGGCAAGTGCCATTGTTAATTACAGGGTAAGTGTTCAATAGCAGTCAGTGGCAGGCTGTTTTTGTTTTCTTCAAAAATGGACACCTGTGAAGGTCACACAAATACTGTTGGTTTAAGAAACAGCTCGCTTAAGCTCAAGAGGTTTAAAAAAAAAAAATCAACAATCTTTGTTGAGTGTTGACGGGTTTCAGATGTTTTGCCAAAATGTTTGCCATTTCATATGTCCAACTCGGACAGTTTCTCACAAAATCTGCAAATATCCTTTTTTGTGCCATATAACTGGACTGTTTCAAACATCGAGGGAAAAAAAATGGGTCGAACCTTATCACAAGACACATCTTGGGGATGTTTGTTTAAAATTCAGAATAATAATAATAATCATAATAGCGGGATCTTATATAGCGCCTTTAACTAAGATCAAAGCGCTTTACATTATTATTACCCCTGATCATTGGGCCAATTAAACATTCCATATACCATCTCAGCTCCCTGGGGAGTATACAGCTCGATGCAGCCTGTTAGGCGCAAGGAAGCTAATTCAATCACAATAACCATCTCTACCCTCGCAGGTACCCATTTACTCCTGGGTGGGGAGAAGCAATAAGTGACAAAGTGCCTTGCCCAAGGGCACACGCACCATAACCCCAGGCTGGACCCGAACCCACAACCTGCAGAATTACCCGCAGACCACGAATTCAATGCCCCAGACCATGAGGCCACGGCAGTCAAGGTTTTACAAAGTACATTCGAAAGTTCTTTTTACAAGAAGTATTGAGGTACATGTATTAAACAGTTCAGAGAGACTCAGTTGATACGGACAAGTGACAATTTATGTGTGTACAGGTAACGACATATTTGTTTTAAAGTTGTGTTACATGAAAGTTAAGAAATGTGTTATGAATCTGCAGGATTCGGAAATATGTCAAAAAGTAAACCCAACGCAAAAAAAAAAACAAGTCAAACTTGTAAGCAAGAAGTATTTTTATACAAACTTTTGATGGGAAATATTTTCCCGAGTGTGAAAGATGCGTTCCCTTTTTTGTTTTTTTCAGGCATGGTTGGATATAAAAGTAGGATTTTTTGACATGTTTCACTCAATCTGTAGAGTTATTTATGTGTCTCAAAAATAAAGTTTGTGCCAAATTTAGTCGAGTTTCCAAGGGAACTTGATAACTTGCCTTTAAGGGGGGAAAAGGGTAATCATATAATTGTAGGATTCCCATAAGCGTGCTTCGTAATCCAACTGCGCATGTGCATATCAAGTTTTGACGATATTTCTTTCGGATAAACATTTCATCTTATGCGCGCAAAAGCGTAGCAGGGTACAGGCAACATTGAAGAGATCATCGTGTTCTAAAGTATAACATGTTGCGAAAAACCTTTGGATAGCGAAGTGTTTTTAGGTGTCTTGCGTGTCAAAACTTTGGTGCGGACGAAAGTTCCATCTCTTTTCGATTCACGAAAAATTGCACAGAATGCAGATTTGGTTGCCACGTCCCCCATAGCCTTGGGTACATTTATCTGCCGCGGTTATCCCGAAAACAAAATCGTCAAATCTTGCTGTACACAAGACTATTTTGGAATACGGAACTCGCTTATTTATCCAGCAATTTTGGCTGCAATTGGATTTTTTTTTTTTTAAGAAAACATAATAAGTGGGAAAATGATAACATAAAAATGCTCACAGGTATGGTCTACAGGGTGGTTCGACAAAGAGGAAACCCACATTTGACAGCAATTTTCACCTACTTTTAAAAATCATTTTTAACTGTCGATTAGTAGCTATTAAAGTACTGGCCTTTAAGCAAATGTGACGAAAAAAATTGTTGCATTTGCACATTTTGTCGTTGAGCTATGCTAATTTGAACATTTCATGTGCGAAACCCGTTTGTCCACGGGGGTTTACATTCCCTTCGCTTGACTGAGCTCAGCTATCGGAGCTTTATTTGAAGGAGCATGACATTTGATTGTTATGTTATGTTATGCAACAATGCACAGCTCATTGAGTAGATGATCTTAACAGTGACATGAATAATTGGACAGCTTCAGTAAAAGTTACCAGGGCAAAATGTATTTTGGTGGGAAGGTTTTTAATTTTTATGAACTACGAAAACGTCCAATTTACAAAGAATAACCCGTGGACAAGACTGATTTTTGGTGACCTGTATTCAAATTAGCATAATATCACTATTTTTGCAACTATTAGGCCAAAAAAAAAAAAGTCTCCGGTTTCTGGTATGCGCGCGCGTCGCCGTAGCCATGCGCGTCGGCAAAATGAAAAAGTTTTTTTTTCAATGAAAGATGATGTCTCAAAACCGCCAAACTCACTGGTTTGACTGGAATTCTGCTGCTGCACAATTTTAACGTGTTTTTAGATGGGGTTATGATCGAGAATAAGCTTTATGTACATGTAGCCTCTCTGAACTCCCATATGTTTGCACTAAGTTTAGTCGGGCACCATTTGCAGTCATCAGTCGACATTTGAAGCAAAAAAGTCAGGTAAAAAAAAAAAAAAAAGCCGCGTCGCCGCACCACTTTTTGGACAAGCTCCATACCAGAAACCGGAGACTTTTTTTTTTTTGCCTTACTAAGCTTTTTTCACCATGCATGGTTAAAGGCCTATACTTCACCACTATGTGAAAAAATATTTAAAATAACTTCATTAAGTTGGTGAAAATTGCTGTCAAAAGTGGGTGTCCTTTTTTTTTTACCACCCTGTACAGTAAAACAGGGGGTCTTTAAAAAATTCCATAAATTTCACGGAATCACCTCCTCACTTATCCATTCCATCAGTTATTAGAATATCACATTTGAAGCAAGAAATCTTGTGACTTTCCCCCCTTTCTCAGAAAAGAGAAAAACAACTTTTGGAAGTGCTAAAGTTAAAACATGTACATGTATGTTCATTATGTATATAGTTTGTACAAAGTCATTTATTTAACCTATATCTGTCTCATTTTCACTGAGACACTGATAACCACCCATGCTGCCAAATACAACATTCTTTTTATTTATTTCATTCTTTTGTATGTTTGTTTTTTTATTCTACTTCAGAAAATAATGTTTACTGGGTTTTTTTTAGGGGGGGGGGGGGAGTTGGTTTCACATGATTCATATATCTTCCAAAATTTTGTTTGAAGATATGTTACCATAAAAACTGTTTAATATACCATACAGTATTGCATAAGACAGCTGTTTTTTTGTGTGTCAGTATTAATAAGGTTTATATTCAGTGGCCTATATGTATTCATTTTTAAATAATAGGCCGTAAAAATGAACACTTTCGATCTCTGGCTGTGCTTTGTGGTCAGACATGGGTCGCATGGCGGCTGCCTTAGGCGCCTTTACATGCCTGCGGCTCGACCACGTTGTAGCCGCGTCCTTCGCAATTCAGCTTCTCAGCTGCGAGTAAGGATGATTAGCCTCCCAGATTATCATTAATATTATTTTCAACCATCCTTTGAGAGTACGTGTAAAGCCCGGTTCATACTTCACGCGAAAGCGAAGCGAAATTTGTGGCGTCGATAATACGTTCAAAGCGCGTCCACCATTGTTGACGACATGAATCGCGCTTCGCACTTGCTTTCGCATGAAGTATGAACCGGGCTTATCTCATTATTGAAAAAAGCGCTTCTTCTTAGCACGGCTATTAGCGGCTAGTAATAAAATTCGGGCCACTCAGTAAAACCAAGAAATTTCTGTAACTTAAGTAAGAGAACCACAATCACTGTTGGACTTCGTCACAGTTTCTGCACAGAGACAAATTTCCTGTCCCTCAGCACACTCAATTTTTCTCGTCGTGAAAACTGTGACGGATGGCTTTCCCTTCTAAGTCAAACCTTTCTTCCTTTTATTAAAGTTACTAAAAGTCTAAAAAATAGTTGAGTATGTTTTGGGGTTTTATTACAGTCTTGTCAATGGGAGCAATTCATCATGTTCATAGGGGGCAGCAAAATACAAAAACTTCTGGAAAGAATGTTGCAACCTGACGCTACTTCGGCGGTTGTGTACAAAGTCTATGGAGAGTCAAGAACATTTTCTAAATATTTCCTAGCAAAATTGGAAATGCTTCTCAGTCCCAGATTCATGTCTTATCGTCATTCTTGCAATGACTGACCTTCATTGAGATGATATATGAAGAAAAAAGCAGCGTCAGGTTGCAACATTCTTTCCAAACATGCACTCATTGTAAAGAAAAAAGATGCTCCGTTTTGCTATTTTATAATAATAATATAGCGCACTTATCCTGAAACCCGATAAAGGCGTCTACACACGCAAAAATAGCCATGCTGCAGTCATAGAGAAATAACTAGTGAGGTAGGTTTTTAGGAGAATTATACATGGGACATAAATAGGACCAATATCACCTTATCAGAGGGTACATTCTTTTTCAAGTCCTCAGAACGAAGTTGAATCTTTGTAGAGGTCTAGACCGAGAAAAATGATCTGTAAGGGGGTGGGTAGTACCAGAGTTGTTGCTGCATTCCCTAAAATACTGACAGCATTTCTTTTCTTTGGGGGGGGGGGGGTTGATTTCCATTTTACAGTGTTGTGTCGAGTCGATCACAAGTCCATCCCAAGTCCCCACAAGTCCATCACAAGTCCATCCCAAGTCCCCACAAGTCCATCACAAGTCCATCCCAAGTCCCCACAAGTCCATCACAAGTCCATCACTAGTTCGTCACAAGCCCATCACAAGTCCATCACAAGTCCATCACAAGTCCATCACAAGTCCGTCACAAGTCCGTCACTAGTCCATCACAAGTCCATCACAAGTCCATCACTATTCCATCACAAGTCCATCACAAGTCCATCACTAGTCCATCACAAGTCAATCACTATTCCATCACAAGTCCATCACTAGTCCATCACAAGTCATCACTAGTCCATTACAAGTCATCACAAGTCAATCACAAGTCCATTACAAGTCCATCACAAGTCCATCACTAGTCCATCACAAGTCATCACTGGTCCATCACAAGTCATCACTAGTCCATCACAAGTCCATCACAAGTCATCACAAGTCATCACAAGTCCATCACAAGCCCACCACAAGTCCTCCAGTCCAAGTCAAGTCACACGCTATTCAAATGAACTACATATGACGAAGACATTCCTTTGTTATTGTTTATCTTCTGTTACTTGTGACTGGACTTGTAAATTGATTATGACTGGCGGTGTGACGGATTGAACTAAAACACGACCATTCTTTTCCTTATTTGACCTTTCCCTTCACTAGCCTTTGTTAAACATAGTTACAACCCAAAATTTACAACAATTTTCAGTGGCCCCGAAGTCAGTGATTCAAAATTTCAAAGCCCTGTAATGGAGAATATTTATTTATTTATTTATTTATCAATATTGACACAATGTGCATTGTATTAAAACCTATTTCCGGCGTTACACAGTTCCTAGACATGTTTGAAAAATGAGAATGAAAAAATTGTAGTTCATAATTTTTTTTTTTTAACTAAGGACAATGAAAGAGTGTGCTATTTAACTAATGTGTTTGAGCAGTTACTGTGATGTACGTATGTAGAGTGCGGGACACATGACACAAAATGACATATAAACACGGAGGTAGTCTAGTAAATTTGCTACATTTATGGGGCTATTATTGTTCATGTTTAGAATTTTGCAATTTCCTGTTTTGATTTGAAAATTTGCAGGGTGCATAGTTTTTGAAATGTGAGTTTGTTGCCTTTTGAACTATCAACTGAAATGATGTTGCGTTATCAAAGATGACCCCCGATAACCGTTACCAGACTAAAGTAGAATAAAATTACTTTTTACAATTTTATATGAAATAGCCTGAAAGTTAAACGCAGCTCTGTAGACATTTTGGAATGAATATTTCCAGACGCCACTTTTTTGCGTTGTGTACAAAGTCTAGGGAGAGTCGAGTGCATTTTCAGAGTATTTTCTAACAAAATTGCAAATGTGATGCGATCAAGCTAAATGAGTCGTTTGTCGACCCCGATCAATTTTTTTTTAATTACAGATTTGAAAAGAGCACAATCTCAGCATTACTGCTGTGAAAACCGCATGCTGATACCATCTTCAGTTAAAAAATTATGGAAGTCGGAACACCAAGAGATGTGATGAAGTGATGTGATGAAGTGGCCCTATTTTGGCCTGTATCTCCGAATGAAATCCCGACAAACGACTCATGTAGCTTGATCGCATCACAAATGTTTCCCAGACCAAGATTCACGTCTTTTCAACGTTTTTGAAATGACTGACCTTGAGATAATATGCGATGAAAAAAAAAGTAGCGTCAGGATGCAACATTCTCTCCGACATTTTTGATATTATAATGTAGTTTCAACGTTCACGATGTGCCCAGTTTTGTTTTAGGTTACCCGTTGGAATTTGCACCCTGATTTATCAAAATAAACACAATGTTGGTATGTTCTGGTGTTTCAAACCAACGTTTGAAGGGCCCACAATGGCCCAAGTGCACAATGTGTTTGGGCTTAATTGTTGTCAAATTCTGTGGAAAGATTTCCATATACGAAGTGCACTCAACACCCTGTGTACAAACCCTATGAGATTGGACTGAAAAATTCTAAGTGTTTTCTAAGAAAATGCTTGTATTTTCTCACTGCTCAAATTGCCTTTGATGACATGAAATTGCTATCTGGGGGCTTGTTAGTCAATACAGAGGAAAATTAGTGAACTTGGTAGGTATATGGAAATCTTTCCAATTCTGTAATTACATGTTCTTACTCTTCGAGCAAAATGTTCTTTTGAAATGTTTCGGTTTTAGGACAAATTCTTGTTCAAAAGCTGCTAAAGATAATATACATTTGCTTTTGCTGAAATGGTCAGAAATGGATGGATTAGGGGTTAGTATTTTATAGCAAATATTGTTACACTGACCTGTTAAGTTGTGTGTTCATACTTCATATATGCTGGAAAAACCAAGAACAAAATGCAGCTGTTCTTGTAGTCTGGTTCCCAGACCTACTTCAGATGAAATGGAGAAGTTTATAGACATCAGGGAATTGTCAGGTCAGAGAACCAGACTAGCTGGCCTGCACCCATTCACAGATGTGTAACCAATTGCAAACAAAATGTGGACTATTTTACTTTGGTAAATTGGGGGCAGTATTTGAAAAAAAAAGTCCATTTTCAGAAATTGATACAAAAATTCCACTTTTCTTGAAAATGACAGCACATTAGATGCCATGATTTCACAGGATGCTTGAGACTATTATTCACTTACAGTCCAGTAAGGTATTTTGTAATAATTTGGCATTTTGTTTTTTGATGTTTGCAAATGTTGTATGTTACCTTTAAAGTTTAATGTTAGTTGCCCTTTTTTGTTAAAGCACTGCCATTGTAGGCTTTGTTTCTTTGTTTATTCCCCACTCTGAGGTGGATTTGCACTTTGTATATTTTATTAAGGAAAAGATGTATTTAACTTAATAAAGGATAAAAGTCTGTATAATATTAAAGACAAGAGATTTTACGAGAAAAAAAAATTAGTCTAAGTGTTATGTGTGAATTTTTAAATTTCTCAATTTTTAAATTTGTTTTAGGAAGGGTTAGTTAACTATTGCCCTTTCTTATGCAAGATTTGATTGTTGAAAATGCAATTTTTGTCCTCTAACTTGGTCATGGCATCAAAAAATACCAAAAGAAGTACGTTTCAGATAAGCGTTTAAGAACTGGCTTGTCTCACCTGGACTTTGTTCAGGAAAGGACTATGTATTGGTGCAAGTTTTGTAAAATTGGTCTCATTTCAAAAAGTTGAAGTCCAATTGGAACCAAACTTGAATCATAGATGCAACATGCCAACCTTCATATGATAATGATGTCAAAGGTCACATACCAAGGTCAAAGGTCACATACTAAGGTCATCTTAGATCAAGTTGTAAAATAGGCTGAACATGTAAAATTTGTCTCATTTGAAAAGTTGAAGTCCAATTGGAACCAAACTTGGGTCATAGCTGCAACATGGCAACCTTCACATGATGTCAAAGGTCACACACCAAGGTCAAAGGTCACTCATAAAAGATAATCGCCAAAGCAGGCGAGACGCGCAGTTCGAGAACCAATTAACTTGTCTAGGAAGCTGACACTCAAAAATAACTATAAGTAGATTTTTTTTTAAGCTTTGACTCGTAAACTGGAGTTTATTTAGAATTCACACAAAGGCAGATGGAGCATACGGATTTCAATCAATTGATTAATAATTTTGTTTACCTAAACACGACAGGGAGAGTTATTGCGGAGAATTTGAAATCTCAAGAACGGCAAAGTAATAAGTCCTAACCTTACTTGCAATGTTGTTAAATTTTATACTCTTCTATTTATATTTTTCTATTTTTTAAGACCAAAACAAAAATCTCCGGAAAGATTTCCATATACGAAGTTCACTCAACACCCTGTGTACAAACCCTATGAGATTGGACTGAAAAATTCTAAGTGTTTTCTAAGAAAATGCTTGTATTTTCTCACTGCTCAAAATGACTTTGATGACATGAAATTGCTATCTGGAGGCTTGTTAGTCAATACAGAGGAAAATTAGTGAACTTCGTATATGGAAATCTTTCCAAAATCACCTTGCAATCAGCCTGACACTGTTCATTGTTAAGGATACAAGTTTTGTTTTTAAACTTTCGTAAAAATAATCACAACTGCCATTAATATATATATATATAGGAACAAAACACTCTTTCATATGCCACAAAAGTGATTATACAATCCCACAAAAAAAAGAAATTAAACTTTTTTCTTAAATTTGGAAAAAAGACCTTATTCGCGAGGCAGCCATTTTTTATGGTGTTCCCTGAATCTGTTTTATAAATTGTAAACTGCTGAATGGGAGAGTGCCAGACTATTTTATGATTGAAGTGCGCTCCAAGCCTTGCTCTGAATTTGTTTTTTTAAATGTGGCTTAAAACATAAGGTATGTTTACTCACAAATTTTTAATTATTCATCAGAGCAGACTGATATTACTTTGTAATGAATTTTTGTGCCAATGCTTTCGTTTCTACTCGCAAGTTCCAAAAATGAAGAGTTTACCTCGCTTTCAATTTAACATGGCCGACTCGTGAATAAAGTATCGGTACAATTTTGACTAAAATTACAGAACACTGCAGTTTTAAACCCTGTACATTAAACAAAACAGGGTGTTTCACTTGGGACAGATTTTGGAAAATTACAATTAGGACAAGTTTAAATTTGAAGTATATTTGCACCTTGACAGTTCACTTGTAAGAAAACTGAAGACTTTAAACGCTGCATATTACACATCATACATAAATTATTCCCCAAGAAACAATTTGAATGTCTTCAAATTCAATCGCAAGACTTAAAAATAAATTGAATATTTTATATATTACACAGGAAAAGTTATATTTGCACACTTTCTGTTACAAGCATACCTGAATCATACACTTTCTTCACTTTAACAAACAAAATAAAACACTTTTTTTGTTCAACGTAAGTTCTTTTTTTGGAAAACAAATAATCTCACAATTGTTTGGTAAGAGAGAAACTTTTTTTTTTAATGGTGAATGTTTTGCTTTATTTTGTGGTGGGAATGTACAGGATTCTAAAAACACAAAAAGAAATCAAAGGAATAAAAATAAACGAAAAGAATTATGCACCAACTATTCTAAAAAAAACTTGGAGATTTAAATTTTGAATTTTTTTGTTACTTCAATAGCAAAACAAGTCCGAGACCATGTATCTCTCTTTGATGATGGCATTATTCATCACGAAATAAAATTTTCATCAATTTTATGAACTTCCCAAATGTCCTGCACATTTGAAAGAAACACTGCAAATTAAAGAAAGAAAGTCCACACTCATTGGCGGGGTCATAATTTTGAATCTGATTGTCTTATGATAACGTCATTTATATAGACCTTTGGGGAATGTTGTTACATTTTGATACCCCGTTTGCTACCAAAGAGTGTAAATCGTCAAAGATTGACAACAGTTTATGAAAAATGATGCAGTTTGAAAAGTAAAAATTTAAAGAGTACGCGAGGAGAAATTGCTCAGTGCAAACACACACATACCTGTACGCGTAATTGGCCCCTAGCGACTGCAAATTGCCCGAACAAAGCGTGGGTAATTCAATTTGCGTGCTCCCATGCATGCAAGCACTGTGCGATCGATATTCCCTGCCGTTCGTTTCGGGCAGTGTCACATTGTCGGGGAACAATTTCGCGTACTCCTTTGTCAATCTTGGACGATTTACAGTCGTTGGTAGCAAACGGGGTATAAAAATGTACCTAGCAACATTCCCCAAAGGTCTATATAAATGACGTCATCATAAGACGATCAAATTCGAAATTATGAACGCTCCAATGAGTTGGACTTTCTATTTTTTGTGGTGTTTAAAAGTGTTGTGTTTATCCAAAACAGCATGATCTCATTTCAAGAAGCTTTAATATTAATTTAAATAATTAGATTCAATTAAAGCATTATTTTTTTCTGGTGGTAATTACCTTCACATTTGTAATTGCTTGTTTAAATCATGGAGGAAGGAACACAAACTTCCTCCATGTTTAAATATAACTGTATTGTACAGTCGAGTCTTGTTAATACAAACTCGTTCGGACCTAGCCAAATTGTTTGTTATATCAGAATTTTGTATTAAGAGGAACATCAGTCCCATTCATTGTGCACATAAATGCACAGTCGGGACCAAGGCTTTATGTTTGTTATAACCAGAACTTTGTATTAACAGAATTTGTACTAACAAGAGTCAACTGTACATACATTATACAACTTTGTATCGGTTTATTGGAGAGTGCTAAATAAATGTCAACTAAATTGAATTGAATTGAATCACAATAAAAAGATTTTTTTTTTATGAATAAGAACTATAAATATATGATCACAACCGACTTGATCAAAAGATGTGAAATCATAATTTTTATGCAGGGAAGAGTACGAAAAGAAGCATTTTCCCGAAAATATGAAAACATTTTTTTTTTTTTTATGCAAAGGGGAAAATGTACAAAAATGTGACCTTCATTCTCAAATTCATCCAATTACATATTCTAGTCAAGCACACCCACTCAAACACAATAGTTCAGATGTCACACTTTTTGGTGTGGTTTTGTCAAAACTTTTTACATCTAGACAACAAAATATCTGAAATAAACGATATATTTCCATATGTACAGTTATATACAATAGCACACAGGGAAAAAAAGCAACGCTATATTTTGGTCGTACAAAGCATTTGTGCTAAGTACACCAAAAAACAAGTGTTAAATATGAAAAAACAATTCTTATATTTACAATTTTATATTAATCAAAATTTGCTCGGCATACTTTCATAGTTAAAATCGCTGAGACTCTGTGAACATGCATAGAATTATATGATAGATTATATATACACATATATTAAAATTTTGAAATTTGATCGTTCGTAACAGCCGATATAGTGTAATATAGGGATATAGGAAGCGAACACCGAATACAAAAGGTTCTGTAAATAAATACAAGATAAAAATTAGCTCATATTTAAAATATACTACCTTCAATATATCATCCAATCTGGTACATTTACACTCGTTACATTTTGAGAAATTTGTTTTGATTTTGAAGTTAAATTCATCAAAATTGGCATCTTTTTAAACTGAACCGAATTTGTGGACTCCACTGACAAACAATCGAGGGCGCTGTTGGTTGGAAATGGGAACGAATAAATGCTCATAATATCCACCCTTGAACATTTATATATTGACCAACAAAGCTCACTGTTTAAAATCCTATCAAAATTTACAAATATAACATATTTGAGGGTAGACAGTCGATATTCGCTCCCCGAGGTATTGGAATTTGACAAAGTAGTTCCTGAGGTGAAGCCGAGGGAACTAATTTGTCAACTTCCAATACCGAGGGGAGCTAATATCGACTATCCACCCGAAATAAACCATGTCATATTTGTTTTACTATACCTCATACGTATTAAGTTGTCAAATTTTCCCGTTGCAGTATTACACCTCGGCATAAAATCTTCGGAGAAACTTGTCCAGCTCACCAGAAGAATATTGCTCAACCTCAGTAAAGTTTAGTTCTTTTGCAAATACAGTAACCCCTAAGAGTTTATACCGCATTATGGACGACTTTTTTTAGTAGACACATGAGCGTGCGTACTACACCTGTGCGATCGTTCCACGATTGCTTCGTAAAGTGGCGAAGTGGACTTTCGCACGGGTAATAGTCTACTAGGAATGCGTATTTACCTTGTGTGTGAATACTCGCATGTGCACAAGCGTGCGTACTACACCAGTGCAATAGTTCCACAATTGCTTCGTAAAGCGGCGTAGTGGACTTTCGCACGGGTTATAGTCTACTAAGCATGCGTATTTACCCAGTGTGTGAATACTCGCTCGCGCGCTTGGTAAACAGTCAAAATAGCATCTGGCACGTGATGGTGAATGGACCAGTGAGAATTCGGCTCTTGATCATGAATATGTATGAGGTATTAGTATTACTTTGTATCTTTAGATTATAAAAAAACTTTGCGAAAATCGACAGTGGAATGTTTTGTACACGAATCTGAGTTTATAAAGATAGCGTTAGTTTTATACTTTTGATTCTCACACGAACGGCAAAAAATTAAACTAAAATCTTCTCAATCAAAAGAACTGTTTTCCTTTATACCTTAAATTTTGTGCCGTACTTCCAATTATTATTTTTTTGACAAATTTTAAAAGTTATTTGCCGCTGTTTACATTTCTTGTTCTGATTATCAATTTTGTTCATAATTGTTTATTGTTCATTTATTTCCACTGTGCCACATATTTTAATAACAGTAATCAATACAAAAAGGTCCTTTATAGACAAATGGTAAAACTGTAAGGGAACCTACTAATTGTAGGCCAAATCTTATCTGATTGTCAAAATTCAAGAACTATATGAACCAAATTAGGAAACTCATAGCTGCAAACTGTTGTAAATTTATATGATATCGTTGTAACGTTGATTGCAACAAAATGTCATTGCATACATGTATTAACAAATTAAAACACTTAATGTTTTGTTCAAGTTTTAAATTTGATTGTAATATAGGTATTTTGTTTTTCAAATCAAGTGCCTTAATTTTGCAAAATTATATATATTTTAGCACACTTATTTGTTTTTACCCAGCAATGTTATACATGTGCAAACCATTTTGGTCTAGTTTCTGGACTTTGACTGCATAGTGAGGATATTATGTAATTTTGCCTCAAAGGAACCGAACTGATTAAAGACGCCTTTCCATATGCACGTTTTCAGTCCGTGTTGTGTCCGTTGCGTATGCGTTGCGTTCGCGATGCGTTTCGCACGCGTGATTTACCTTTCCATATATACGTGAAGTATGCGAAATGAAATTGGCTAGCAAGGTAGGAAAATGAAAACGGCAAGCCGTCAAAATTTGAAATGTGTCTACTGGTTGCAGCTGCATGCTTACAGAAAAAAAATCATTCCAGTAAAAAATGAAGTCACAAGGTTTGGGTCCATGCAATTTTCCAAAGCAAATTGCTTGCAATCGATCCGACGGTTTGACGGCAACATGATAATGGCCGGGTTATTGCGCTTGTGCGAAGCATTGCATATGCGTCAAAATCAGTCTTGGAGCGATTTTGACGGGCGATCAGAACGGACACGCTGTGTTTGTGTACATATGAAAAGGGATGTGTGCTACAATATGAAGTCGATTTTTGTGTCCGTATAAATCAGGCATGCAACATGGAATTAACAAAAAACGAGGAAATACCAATCTTTACAGGACTTTGTACAGTGTTTTTCAATTTTAAATGGCAAAAGTCTGAGGTGGAAAATGAGAAAATCAGCTGATCCGAGGAAAAGTTGCATGCCTGATAAATGAAACACATGAACACAGACTTAACGGGGGAAAAAATGTGCATATGGAAAAGCGCCTTAAGCCGGGGTATATTTTGTCTCCAACTGGGGGTAGATTTACAGCGTAACGTCCACCACAACCCACAAAGGTTGATGCTTCACACTTTCATCTGAATAGCTCTCGGGTACGACAGGAGACGGCAACACAGAATGCATCTGTTGTCAAGCAACACTTCTAAATCACAGTGTACGCCTTAAGACACATGATTGTGACGTAGACCAGCCACAGGATGGCCAGAAATGCTCCCGACAAATGCTTCGTGATCTTGGGGCCTCCTAGCTCACCTCCAAAAAGCTGTCAAAAAAAAAGAAGCAAATTGTATGCAGATGTACGTGTGGTGCAATTTGAAATAAGAATGATGGATTTCTTAAAATTGTGACACAGGTTTAAATTCAAACACCACTGCAAGGGCAGATCCAGGGGGGGCCAAAGGGGGCCATGGCCCCCCAAAAACGAAACCAATTTTTTTTTTTTTTATGTGACATTGCAATAAAGGCAGGCAATGAGTACACCACCATCTTTTCCTCACAAAAACATTGGTTAAAGTGGTCAGAAATTGCCTCAGATCGCACCACAGAGCATCTAGAATCCAAAATTTTTTGACCCACTTTTTGGGGGGACAAAATTTTTTTTGGCCCCCCCCAAAAATTGTGTTCTGGATCCGCCCTTGCACCACTGCGGACTCTCTTTTAGTAAACCTGTCCCAATTCTTAGTCTCGGAGGTTCAGACAGTCACGTACGTGTGTGGAGCCACACGAATGATATCTGATATATCCAAGCATGCAAATTTTATGCGACCCCGCGTGCCAGCTAATTGGTGTCGAATTTAAAAACTTTTAACGTCGTTTTGATCAGAAATATGGACTAAGCTGTTGATTGGTCAATTTGGCTGCCACGTTTTTGTAAAACAGCAAGGGGTTACTGAAGACCCAATAGAAGGCGGCCACTGAATGGTCAGTATCTGTACGTCAAGACGCAGTCTTGTTTTGCATAATTAATCGGCTAATCTGCATGAATATCATGCAATTTCTCCTCGCAATATCTTGAAAACTTCCGCACTCGGACTAAAGAAAATTCTGAGCATCTCACACATGCTGTATTTGAAGTTATTAATATGTGAATCAGGTATGCTTGGAACTTCCTGGGTCCAAGTGCCAAAATTCCCAAGACTCTACCGCACTTGCCAGGGATTAATTGGAGCCGACTGGATCCAGGGAATAACAAATGATTTCAGCCTTGAACCAAGTCTAGGTGAATTGCCCCCACTGACTCTAGTCCGGAATCTCACTAAAATCAGACAAAGTTCGCTGTCCCCCCCCCTTTTTTCCAATCTCCATCTCCACCTACCTTTCTTCTCATGATGAGTATGATGATGCAGAGGGTCCCGATACCGGTGAAGAGGAGTACCGACATGAAGAGGTTTCCTTGTTCTATCCTGAACGGTCCTTTCTTGGTGGCTAGGTTGTACATGACGCTGATGATCCACGGAATTCCCAGGCCAAGGAAAACGTTCACGCTGTTACTTCCTGACGTCACAAATATAAAAAAATTTAAAGGAATATACAACATTTGCTTTTCCTGTAATTTTCAGAAATGGATGGATTCGAGGGTTAGTATTCAAATATTGTTCCAATGGCCTGTTTAAAGATTTTGTTTTCGCGGATGCGGGAAAAACCAAGAAAATGAAAACGTAACACGTCGCAACTCGCGACGCGTCGTAACCGACAACTCTTTCTTGAATATTAGACGACTATTTTCTGTATGCTGAATAAATACTAGTCAACGTGTATACACCTACGATGCATTGCAGGATGCGTCGCGGCTGCGACTCGCAACGCGTCGTAACTGACATCTCTTTGTTGAATATCAGATGACTATTTACTGTACCCTGAATAAATACATATAGCAGTCACCGTGTATATACACCTACGATGCATTGCAGGATGCGTCGCAGCTGCGACGCACTGAAGGAATAAGATGTGTCGCAGCACTGCGATGCATCGTAAGTTACGATGATTTTCGTGAAAACAGGTGCAGCATTAATAGATGGAAATGTGGCGGCACGCTCATTCATTAAAAGGCCACATTGTACGCTGGAGAATGCATACCGATCGATTCTGTGTCTTGTACTTTTTAATGCTTTTATATACCTATACCAAATGCAGAGCCAGGCGACAATTTCATTTTAATATATATGCAAGCGATATCAGCGTAAGATTCAACGACGCCACGGTATGAAACAAGCTGAACGTGAGTCACTATCAGATTTGTTTTTCAGGGACGGCTTTTTGAAACGCGGAGATCCGCAAATATGGGGAACAGTCTCATGTCTGTCATTTTTACTCACCAGCCGAACTACTTTAGGGAATGGTTTGATAGTCACCGCTGTTTTTACTCGCATTTGGCGAGCAGACTACAGCTAAGGTCAAACCCTGCATGTAAGGGTTCTTTCAAAAAAATTGAAGTTCAAAAAATAGGAGAACAATACAAGGCCCGCATGATTGAAGAAGTGTGCACATATGTGGGGGTCTGGGTAAAAGTCCAAATTTAGAGGGGGTATGGGAGGGCAACCCCCCCCCCCCCCTTTAGATTCGCAGCCATACCTGTGATGTTCCCAATAGCAGCGTCTGCATACTGGTCGTGAATGGATGCCGTACGACTGGCGAACATGTCCGGTACGCTGGTGCCCAGCGCAACGATGGTGATACCAGCAACGGCTGCCTTGAAGTACAGTACACAGCTGAACAGTGTCGCAAGCTATAAAAAGACAGAAAAAAGACAACAACTTTTAATCTCTGTAATACGCATTGGATGTAGTTTTTCTTTAGGTTTTAATGCACAATCTTTCCGTTTTAACAGAACTTGTGAAAATGACCTTAAAGTTCACGATCCCTACACCCATATAGTGTGGACATTCCGTTGTTTGTTGACAAAAACCGGCGAAAAAACTCTTCAGTTTTCAACCCGAATTTTTCAACTTATAAAAAACCTGGATGCATTTTACCTGTTCTACTATTGCAGTGAGTACACCTATGCAGGCTAGCGACAGAATAAAAGCTGGCCATCCGCCCCATATACTCCTGAAAAATTGGGGGAAAAAACATAAAATAAAACAACAGAAGTAAGTTTTTCGCACTTTTAAGGAAAATAAATTTGGAAAAACATTGCGGGTTATAATTTTAAATTTCATTCAAAAGGGAGGGTGGTCATGTCCTATTATGTGTTGTTAGATTCATGAATATTTCAAGTTTTAGACAAATTTTCTTTATCTTTCAAAATATTTTCTCAGCTTATAGGGAATATACATCATTTGCTTTTGCTGTAATTTTCAGAAATGGATGGAATTGGGGGGTTGGAAATATATAGCAAATATAGTTACACTGACTTTTTTTAGGTTTTGGGTTCGAAAATGCTATAAAAACCATGAAAAACAATCATTTTCCTGTAGTCTGGTTCCCTGACTCCATATAAGAAGAAACAAAGCAGTTTACATACATTGGGGAATTGTAAGGTCAGGGAACCAGTCTAGCTGGCTTGTACCCGTTCATAGGTGTGTAATCGATCGATTGCAAACAAGTGCGATGGTCAATTGGGGCCAGTATTTGGAAAAAAAGCCAGTTTTTTCCAACGCTGGTTGGCCGACCAGCGTTGGAAATTGATACAAAAATCCCACTTTTCTTGAAAATGACAGTATACCAGGTGCCATGATTTTACAGGATGCTTTACACTGTCATTTACTAACAGTCCAGCAAGGTATTTCAAAATGATTTGGTAGTTTTATTTTTTGATGTTTGCAAATGTTGTATTTTCCCTTTAATGTCCAATGCTCGTCAATTATACAAATTTCAGACTTGTGTTCTAGAGTGGCATATAAGCAAATAGTATCAGGTTCGACCAAACTCTACTCGCTCAAGGGTGGATCGGGGGGGGGGGGGGGGGGGGGGAACTCCCCCCCCCCCCCCCACCCCAAGAACCCAACAATTTTTTTTTTTTTAAGTGACATTGCAATAAAGGCAGGCACTATGTACACTACCATCTTTTCCTCCAAAAGATTTGGTTAAAGTGGTCAGAAATTGCTATGAAATTACAATGCGTCGTTGCTATGTAAAAGGGCGCCCTCTTTCGTTGGCGCACGAAGCCCATAGAGAGATTAAAGAGATATCTGAGGAAGTCTTTGCTCGATCATCTTCTTACCTTGGTGGTATGAGTGAGAAGACGACTTTCCAGAGGAATGTGATGAAATGAAAGAGATAATCGATCTTGGCTGGCGGGATCTCGTTGCCCTCCTCGTCCTTGTCACCTCCTACATTCATTGCACTGAGAAGGATAAGCAATAATCAATAATCTATCAATACTCAATAGTTGATAATTGATAAATCTGTTCATCAATAGACAAGAAAGAAATAATCAAAATTGGTTGCAGAATCTCGTTGCTTTCATCATCTCTGTCACCTCCTACTGTCACTGCACTGTCAAGAAAATACTAATCCATAATCAATCAATAATCAATAGCCTTAATACTTGATCTATCAGTTCATTAATAAACATGGAAGAGAGAACCAATCCCTTGTCTTGTAACCTCTTGTCATTACATTGTAAAGGGAAAACCAATCAATCAATAATTGATCAATAACCAATCAATACTTGATCAATAACCAATCAATACTTGATCAATCAGTTCATTAATAAACATGGAAGAGAGAACCAATCCCTTGTCTTGTAACCTTTTGTCATTGTAAAGGGAAAACCAATTAATCAATAATTGATCAATAACCTATCAATAGTCAATCAATACTTGATCAATCAGTTCATTAATAAACATGGAAGAGAGAACCAATCCCTTGTCTTGTAACCTCTTGTCATTACATTGTAAAGGGAAAACCAATCAATTAATAATTGATCAATAACCAATCAATAATCAGTAGTCAATTAATACTTGATCTATCAGTTCATTAATAAACATGGAAGAGAGAACCAATCCCTTGTCTTGTAACCTCTTGTCATTACATTGTAAAGGAAAAAAACAATCAATCAATAATCGATCAATAACCAATCCATAATCAATAGTCAATCAATACTTGATCAATCAGTTCATCAATAAACATGGAAGAGAGAACCAATTCCTTGTTTTGTCACCTCATACTGTCATTACACTGTAAAGGGAAAACCAATCAATCAATAATTGATCAATAACCAATCAATAGTCAATAGTCAATCAATACTTGATCAATTGGTTCATTAATAAACATGGCAGAAAGAATCAATCTCTTGTCTTGCCACCTCGAACTGCATCATTGGTTATTGATCAATAACTGATCAATAACTGATCAATAACCAATCAATAACCAATCAATAATCAATCAATAAATTAGTTCAGCAGTGGACAATTGCTATGAGGCTACTCCAAAAAGAACATGCACGGTACCTTTTGATTTGGCCGAGCCATGTTTCTTCCTCTTCTTCCTCGTTTTCGGCTAACAGATTGGCCAGACGCTCCGAAATGTCATCTAACCACGAAACAAAAATAACCAAATAATAAAGGATGAAAAAAAGTAAGACTGCTGCAAACTGCTTACTGACTGGATGGACCTGAAATATATAAATCTAAAAATTAATGTGGCCTGACGTTGCGAACTTAGCAAGTTCTTCTTCAGAGGCTAAAACAGAAATGACAGAGGTACATATACATTAACATGGGGGTGCACACAAACATGCAGGGCTGAAAGAAGAAACACAAATAATAAAGGAATTGATCAAGGGTAAATTTAGCCCCCTAAATATTCTGTGTTTTTTCTGAATTAAATAACAGTTTACAAATTAAATTCAAGGAACATCTGGTACCCTGACTTGCTCAAATACTTGACACATTTTAACTTCGAAGTCTCCAGACCAAAGCGACTATTGCTACACTGTATATCACGTGATTGGGGGCAAGCCTTACGCTAGCAAACCCCAGCTCCAGCATGGTCTGGTGTCTTTGTGCCATTCTCACCCATTGTGAACAATGTATTGGTGCTGAGCGTCTCTTACGTACCTATGCAAGAGCTTGCCCCGAATCATGTGATTAGCAACAATGTCTTTGGCCCAGAGATTTCGAAGTTAAAACATGCCAAGCATTCTGAGCAAGTCAGTGTGCCAGATGGTATTCAAATTTAACTCGCAAAGGCTATAGGTTATAAAATGCAAATGGCTTATTGGACAAGATGACTGCGTTTACTTGTTGCTATAACTACACATTCCCCCTCCCTCCATAATTTCTTGAAAAAGCAATATAATGAAAAAAATTAAAAGGCGAATAACAGAAAACCCCCCCCCTCCAAAAATTGAAAGTGAATTCTCTTTCAGATTGATAATGCCATTAAATTTGGTTCCATTATTCGCTGAAGTGGATCAGTGACTCCAAATCTGAGAAATGTCAAGTCAATTTTGAACTTACCGAGCGCAAGATTGGCCACAGCTGCACTATGTTCACCTAGCTTAGCTCCAAGGCTTGGGTTTCGTATTGTAAGCACAAAGTTCTTCGGATCCTGAACGGAGGACAAATAAAGACAAAGGTTGTTAAAGGTATAGACCATCATTTGTAATTTGTGCATTTTGTTCGTTTGAAGCAACACAAGTGCTCAAATTCCAAAGAAAATCTAAACTTTAGCAAAACAATTCAATTATAAATTTCAAATTTTCAAAAAGTCTTAAATCACGTTATTTAAAAGTTGTTTTTTAAATATTGCAATTTTTTTCAAGCTGTTCTAAAACTCCTTCCCATCTGCACTACTGAACAAGTTCACGAGTAAAACCATGAATAGTTACGAATAATTGAAGTTTTGTGAATAATTAATGAATATGTATGAACATTGCTCCGCCCACCTTGGTTTTCCTGTTGACATCGACCTCGATCTGCTTGCTGGTCTCCCTGTGCTCAAAGAGTAACGTCCCCGACGTTGAAGTTTTGTGAATAATTAATGAATATGTATGATCATTGCTCCACCCACCTTGGTTTTCCTGTTGACTTCGACCTCGATCTGCTTGCTGGTTTCCCCGTGCTCAAAGAGTAGCGTCCCTGACGTTGCCCGGTAGTCTGCTACACTGGTATCCAGGCCACCACGCGCTGTGCCATCCCTGTATTCAGCCAGAAACCCAGAAATTTGAAAAAGAGTTGTGTACCATCAAACATCACTATCAGAATTCACTGACATAAATTATGCAAATAGGCCAACTGGCGAACAGCGCCACTCGATTACCTGACGTCAGTCTGGCGTATTGCATCGATAAGGGAACATCGATATGGGTGGTGTTTGTAAGACTTGTGCGAAATGTTGCAGGGATCAAATTTGGAAGAGACAATTTCAAGATTAAAGCAAAAACTTGCAAGCTTAAAGAGGTTGTGGAATGCTCGAAGACATTTCTGTCATTTTTGGGGAATATGTAGCCTAAGGTGTGATGAAATAAAAACGACTATTGTTTCTGTCATGAAATGAGTACAAAAGGTACTTTTGAGAGCTGTTTTTCAGGTCCTGTTTCGACCCGAACGTGCAATTTGTGTAAAAGTCGTCGTTGCGGGCAGCAAACAAAACACAGTAAATCGTGACATTATAAACAGGACTCGTATATGCTACTCTGCATCGGGAGTCCTGTTTATTACGTCACGATTTACTGTGTTTTGTTTGCTGCCTGCAACGACGACTTTTACACAAATTGTACGTTCGGGTTGAAACAGGCATAACAGGACTTGAAAAACAGCTCTCAAAAGTACCTTTTGTACTCATTTTATGACAGAAACAATAGTCGTTTTTATTTCATCACACCTTAGGCTACATATACCCGAAAAATGACGGAAATGTCTTCGAGCATTCCACAACCTCTTTAAAACCTCAGAAGTACTGTATCTACTCACATTGTTGCATACTGTATTGAAACTGTGCCGTCCGAGCCGTTTGATCTTAATACAGTCGCCGTGACGATGCCTTTCTCCAAGTCTGCGGCATAGTTGGCGCTGTCGAAGGAAAACTCACCAGGAACTGGAAAGATGAAGACAATTAAACAAAAGTAGAAATGAAATTTTTTAATTGTTTTTAAACAGAAAGAAGTTTTGAAGAACTAAAAAAAAAAAATGTTAGGGTTTAAAAATGTCAAGAGCGCAATTCAAACGCTATCCTGGTTTTAAGGTAGCAGATCATGATTTTGACGTGTGACTAGGAAAAGGACCTAAGCAGCCTAGGCACGCAAAAAGCACCTTTGGAGATAATCGAGTTGAAAAGTCTTGTGCTGCCATTTCTAAATGAAAAATCGCATCAGGCTGAAATTTGGGCTCATGAAAGTCGTTAAAACTTAAAATCATAGAGTGCATTTTTATTTCAAAATACTACTTAATTTTGAGGTAATTTAGATTTTTCTGCTTACGACCTTTTACCAGGAACTCCATCTGTCTTAAACTTGAACTTGCCCTGCATTAAACGTGCGCTTAAGCGGCATATGTTAAATCCTAACGTCCTTTTGCCGGGAACAAACTTGGCTTTGCGTATACCCATTTAGGTGTGGGACATTAGGGCACTTGGATCATTTTTGCCGGATCATGAAAAACCTCCTTCCGTCCTTTGTTTACTGTTAATTACGTCAGGATGACGTAGCCCCTTGAGACAATATGTATATCAAATTAAAGATATTTCCAAGCTTAATCGAAAAAATCCGAATTTGACATTTTGACCCTTTTTTGCCCTATGACCTTCTTTCAGGCACCCGACGATTTATGCCTTCAGTAAAAAAAAGGGCAAAAAGCTTCACAAAACTGTTTTCACCGTTTACAAATAATGTCCACATTATCTTCAAACTTTTCACACATTTTTGCTCACTAAAATTATCAACCATTTAGTAGCCTTCCAAAAATAAATGAAAGCCCTCAATTTTTGAAGACCAGTGATACACTTAACTCTGCTTAAAAAATCATCGAAAATTGCATAATTTATCTAATCTGATGCTCAACCTGTATAATTTGTTTCTGCCCCAGCTATAAAAGTAAAGGTCTTACGACCCGACCTCACAGAATTCTTAATGAAGCTTGGACATTTTGGATGAACGTTTGAACCTTGGAACTCTTTCAATTTTTTAGCAGTTGAAGCTTAAAGGTAGAGTATATCATTTGCAGCTATCCAAAACGTAACTGACCAAATTATTGTTGAAAAGCTTACTTGGCTTAAAGATAGTAATGGCACTAAACTCCCTGTGAAATTATTCCTTCTGGCATGCTGTCATTTTGAAGAAAACAATACAAGAAGGTCATTTCCAAAGATGAGTCAAGTGACACATTTTTTTGGAAATTTCCTTCAATAGTTGGTTTGTAGTTGGGTGCGCGCAAGCGTTGACATGATGCGCAGGTGTGCTATTATTCGTCCGTTCACAGTGTGACATTGCGCAGCTGCAATCGGTTGAATGCGAACGTGTTCCGGATGCTGAATTCGGGCACGATTCAAAACATGACTGGGCAACTTTCGAATTGAAATCGAGATCCTAGAATATTGTTTTCTCGGAATATACAGCATTCACACAGTGAGCATGTAACAATAAAAAAACAGTGCACTAACAATAAACATCTATTGTTAGTGCATCGTTTTTCTTTTGTTAGATAACTGGTGCTTTGGCCATCAAACTGTAACGTAAAACAGGATTAAAAACTATGTAAACCAGTGCCAAGCGAGGGGGGATGACCTTGTTACCATGGCGATGTACTCACCATCATCATCAATTATCGTGACCCGGGTCAAGCTGGGGTCACCCAGGGCACCCCCTCCGTCAGGATTCTTCAAGATGACGTAGAAGTCCATGTTGTTCTCAAATTGGTTGTCGTTGATGATGGGAATGGAGATGGATTTACGCCACTCTGTCTCTTGAAAGATCTGGTAGTATGGGAGGAGCACACAAAGCATGGGATGCGGAGATGCGGAGAAGATCAATTCAAAGTGAGGAGAACATATGATGGCTAATGGCCAAAACGCAATTTTAAAACTTATATCTTCACAAAGCAAACTCTATCCTGAAAGAAATGTTAACAGAGCATATCTTTGCCAGAGATCTGACAGTGTAACTTTAGACAAAGGTCTTACCTCCTAACTTCGGACAGAGATCTGACAAACTAACTTTCTGACTGAGATTTGACATCGTAACATTTGACAAAGATCTTGTGTAAAAACATTTTTGCCAAAGATCTGACAACCTTTTCTTGCCAGAGATTTGACATTATAAGTTTTGACAGAGATTTAACATTCTAACTTTTGATATGACAATCTTCCAAAAACATCTAAGTTGAACAAAGAAATTGAAAGGAGTGGGGTTTGAACCTGCGACCTCCAGATTGCCAACTCCACTGTTCTACCAACTGAGCTTTCCAGCCCTCTGTTGGCGGTTCTCCAACTTGTCAATGTCTTTGTTCGTTGTGGTATATTTGAAAATCTCTACTATGGACAGTAGTCTGATGTCGTGTGACTTTTTCACAAAGATTTGACATCCAAACTTTTGACCTCGATCTGACAACCTAATTTCTGACAGACTTCTTACCAGGACTCCTTGCGTGTATCTGAATTCCGTCTCATATTTGGCCGTTCCTTCTCTTGTCTCGTACGAGATGCTGACGACAGAATTGATGTAGCTATCATCCTCTTTCTTACTGTTGTCCTCTTGAACTTCATAAGCTGCTGCTTTCCCGTTTTCCTGCGTCAAAAAAAGAAAATTAAATGCCTGTTCAGAACGATTCTCACATTCGGACGAAAATGAATGACCAATTTTCAGAAGTGAATGAACATTTCAGGAAATTGCCTGGGAAAACCTATAATATACCAATTTTATGTTTGACTTGAAATCATGATATCATTTTCTTTTTGTGCCATAGACATTTTTTTATTAAGGTAATGATTATGACCAGCAAAAGATGGCAAGCCCTATTTTGTATAGAAGTTAAATGCATGTAGGCATTCAAGATCTAGGATATGAAAGCCCAATTAATAAGCTTTCTTTTAGTATAAGAATCATTAAAATCACTCACATACTTATGCAGTTATTAAGGAGTTTTAAACACAAACACAGTTTTTTAACCTCGTCCACGGATCACAATAAAGGTAAGTGATATTTCAGCAAAACAAAAACTATTTACATATCAAAAAACACATAAAAACACTCTCATAACCATGATAACTGGCACTTAACATTTATTTAAAAACCTGCTGCTTCCAAAGTTAAAACATGCTGAATAATTTCAAGAGTTTATAGTCTTGCCCTGCCTTCTACTTGGCTACCCGGGGACTTATGAGATTATTCTGATATCATTTTCAGGATAGGACATTCTTTTTTTTACTGAAAAAAATCACGTACCTTAATGTGATCTGTGGACAAGGTTAAAAAACGGTGTTTGTGTTCAAAATTCCATTGCTGGAAATTTGCATAAGCAATTTGAATAATTCCTGTACTAAAAGAAAGCTTATTAATTGGGCTTTCATATCCTAGATCTGGAAAGTGCTACGCGCAGAAGTTCTGTAAAAAAAAATAGGGGGCGCCATTTGGGTTTCTTCTTTTTTTTCTCACTCTGAACTGTCAATACACAATGTGTTTTTTTTTTTTGCACTTCGCAAAGAAGAATATAAAAATACATTACAATGAAAGCATAATTCTTAATGGATGAACCAAAAACAAAACATCTTAGTTTAATCACCCCAAAAGACCTTGCTACATTCCAAACCCGTCAATTTTTAATGAACTGGAAGGAAGAGAATTAATGATTTAATCATTTTTTTTTTCAAGACAAACAGGAGAGGAAGGCTAAAAGCATCGAGACAGAGTGCCCGTTTCCAATGGCAACCGATGCGCGGGTAGAAAAAAAATGGATCCCTGCACCAAGGACGTCTTTACAAAATTAGCTGTTACCATGGTGACGATATCAACTAAATAATACAGACTAATTAGTCTGTCGTTTTGAAAGCCAAGGCATATTGTCGTTGAACCATGATGCTTTGTACAATGCTACTAGCTGGGAAGAGCACATGCAGAACTTCCCCGAATATCAAATTCTAAACTTTACAAATTTGAGGGAAAAACTACAAAGTGACGAAAGCAATCAACAACTTTAATTGTACCATCAGAAATAAACAGCCATTTTTATGTTAAACTAGTGCATTTTTCCCTGTTATTTCACATATATGTAGCAGGCTACCAAAGCAGTTTTCATTATCAGATGTCTTTAGAATGGAGTAAAAAAAGACAGTCAAAAATTAAGTACCATTACATCGTTTAAACATAACAATAGAGTAACACTATACAAGATACAAATGTGACCTGCTGTGGCAAAATGAGGAGTGTCCCCCAAAACCTTGTTTTGAGCATGTCTTGAATAATCTGCGCCTGAAGTCGGATATACAGTGTCTCTCTCAAAAAAAAATTGCAAACAAAATAAAAAGGATTGCCAGACGTAGAATGTAAAACCAACATAGATAATATAGATATGGTTTGAAAGATACGCCTTTCCACTTTAAAATGAGACATCAAACGTCCACATCTGATAATTTTTGACAGAGTTATGAGTAATTTTCCAAGAGAGGTCAAATTGACCATGGGACCAAGTTTTCAAATGACTAATTTAGCTTGATTCCATCACATGTATAACTTTAAAAGTAAAGATGGGGGTTATTCCTCATTATGATATGGCAGGTCACAAAATATGAAAGCCACATTGAAGTGAGCAAGATAAAGTGAAAGATAAATAAATACACAACAAAAGCTAGAATGGAATATAATATCATTTTTTATCCTTAAATGGATTCAAACAGGGACTCACTCATAATAAAACATTTATGATAACTCAAGCCATTCTCATTTTCACGAAATACCAACAAATGCGCACGAATAATGAATCAACGGTAATGAGAATTCGTGGCAGGTTTTGAAGATAATCAAAATGTCAATGTTGACTAATCACATTTCTCTAGATCCCTGTAATATTGATTTCTGACAGATACTCATCTAGTCCGCTCCCTCGAGTACGGGGTCACTCATGAACAAAACAAACAACTAGAGGAAACGACTTTCGTTGAAAATTAATTTGTGTCGCCGCGGGCGACGACTGCTTTATGATTATGATCATTACCTGCTATAAAGCTTGTTTTGTTGGCGCAATAGTCGCCATAGCAACAGTGCATGTTTGAAACGACAAAAGCACTTTCTGCAGTGTCATGAATACATGTATGGTAATCCTTCAATGGCATTAAACTCTTTTATAATGTTTTACACAGGCAGGCAAATCACAAGACAAATTGGTGTGAGATCTTTATTTTCAAGAATTGCCAAGACCATTTTGGGACGATATGTGGCCAGAAATAGTCCAGTACAAATTCTGGCCATGGGGAAGTATTAGGGCTGTCTAGTTTCGAATAAGTTAGTATTCGATTACTTGAAACAGCATTTGACCAAATATTCGGATATTCGAAACTGCCAGCTGCAACTTCGTGCCATGCTAGTCAAAAGTTGCACGCAAGAACGCACAAGTTAAATTTGCGTGTGCCGCACGATATGGGCCAAAATTGCAGTATTATGAGTGCGTTCAATTACTTCCCCACGTTTACTCGTGGAGGACTTGTAAAGACTTGTAAGGACTTATGAGGACTTGTGAGGACTTGTGAGGACTTGTGAGGACTTGTGAGGACTTGTAAGGACTTGTAAGAACTTGTAAGGACTTATGAAGACTTGTAAGGGCTTGTGAGAACTTATGAGGACTTGAAAGGACTTGAAAAGACTTGTGAGGACTTGTAAGGACTTGTGAGGACTTGTGAGGACTTGTAAGGACTTGAAAAGACTTGTAAGGACTTGTAAGGACTTATGACGACTTGTAAGGGCTTGTGAGAACTTATGAGGACTTGAAAGGACTTGTGAGGACTTATTGGAATTGTGAGGACTTGTAAGGACTTGTATGGACTTGTGAAAACTTGTGAGGACTTGTGAGGACTTGTAAGGACTTGTGAGGACTTTTTGACTTGACTACAATACAGTGGCAGAATTTGGATGTTATAATACTTACTAAAAACTTGGTTACCGGTATGTACTGGTTGCCAACAACCAAAAATGTGTTGGTGTTTTTTTTTAAATTTGTTTGAACAAGGAGTCCTCAATTTCCAAACATATCTGTGGACAAAAACTTGAAATTGTACTCACCATTAGGGCACCATTACTCTTCCTGAAAAATAAGTAAACAAATTGAGAAAAACAATTATTGGTGATAATTATCGAATATTTTTTCAGCTTTTTTTTTTGCAATATATATTTTTCCCCGGTATAATTTCCAGGGTGAATGACAAAATAAACACTTTAATTGATCAACTCTCCTTAGCTCACCTTTAAAAAAAAAAATCATATCAAATGATATTTTAAAGCCTGCCTAAACGTCACTCTGTTCGGACAACACAAGCACGCACAAACACGTCACCCTGCGAAATTAAATCTTCACTTCAAAGTTGAACTTTAATTTCTGAAGTGTCACGCGGAACCCAGTTGCAACCGTTATTGCCCTAATGTACAAGTACACATACACGTACATATACACGTACATGCATCTATGAAATTTGACGCTCAGCACACACAGTTGATTAGCTGATAAATAACCAATGCGCAAAGTACAATCACCGGCAGGCCCACTTTAAATCTGGCTTAACCACTTCAAAATGCCACAATTAAGAAGGACTGTCACGCCATACATGTGTAGTGGGTATAGGTCTGGGGTTAGTTAGTCTGTATTGCCAGACTGTGTATTAATTACTGTATCTGAAACCTATCTGTCATCTTCAAGTAAACTTGAATCCTCGATCCTGATTGGTCGCTCCATGGCAACAAGCCGTGCTACATATAACCATGTAGCACGGCCACGGTCAATACCGCACTCCGCGTATTGCGCGTCAAGCTTGAAGATAAATTCGTTGTCCTGCTCGTGCTCGTGGAACACGGAAAATGTAGTGCGTCTGTGTCCCACACAGACGCACTACATTATTCCGTGTTCCACGGATAACTTGCGCTCGCAAGATAACTAATAATAGACCCTGTGGGTTGAATGCCCTCAATGCGGACACGCTTTTGTGCCTCCTTGACCCATGACAAAAGCTACCCAAAATGCTTTGCGTTTCCTGAAAATATTTCGTCGGGGAGTTGAGCCATTGCTATAAGCTTCCTTGGATTGGGCACTGAGTGCAAGCCTTTGGCTAAAATTATCGATTGACACTCCATTAAAAAAATCAAGGATTTCATTATCGTCTGATGTTTCGAGATTTGTCCACTACATGTACTGTCAATTTATGCTAAAGGTCGAAGCTGTCAATGTCCGGACAGTGTCATAAAGATGACTTTGTCTCATCAACTGAACGAGAAACAGTCATTTTCAGACGGACCTTGAGAGAGATAGACAGAAGAGGCTTCAAGACGTTTTCACGTCAGAGGGGAAAAAAGTCAAATTCATCAGAGAACTGTGGTGCCATCTGATGAGGATATATGTAATTCTGGTGAGATGAATATTTGACAGCTTGTTTTTGTCTCGTGGACGTTTGCCTCGGAAACTAACAGATGGCATGGTGACTACATGATTAATAAACAACCAAACTGAAGCTAATAGTTTAGCTAGTGTAATTACTACGAATAACAAGTATTGCTTTATGTAAGAAGTATTTTGTCTTTGAAAAAAAGAGATCAAAAATGCTTTTCTGAGGTAACACAAAAAGAAAATGCTTTTCTGAGGTAACACAAAAAGAAACCCAAACTTTTATGCAAGATAACAAAAATATATCAAAAATTTTGCCGGATGGGTTTAAATTAGTAGCTCTTGGACATTTTGTTGTCCCTTTCAAAACTTTCTTTTTCCCTGTACTGAGATTCTTAACCACGTGATGCCGAGATTATTTCTGGTCGGAAAACACCATTTATAAAAAAGACAATTATACGGGGCTAATTTTAAGTCAAACACCACCTGAATACTGACTCTTGAAAAGCACTTGTACAATATTTGTACGATTACTTCTCACTTTTAAATTCATACTTTGCAACACTCAGAGGCCCCACCACGGAACAATATTTGCTACGAGGGCAGGCCGGGTACCGCGGCCAAGTTCAAGTTCAACACAAGGTGTATACAAAACCAATGGGAACAAATGACACGTGTATATGTCCATCACCGCCAGAGAGTTGGGAAAAGCTTGACGATTTAACCCGTCACCGGCCCGCCCCTGCGAATAAATTGCCGGATCGTGTTTATACATATGCTCCTGCGTTAATTGAATAACCTACACTCCTAAATCCTGCAAAATCCTCTTTGCAAAATGGAGGATTTTGCAAGATGAGGCTTGTGTGGGGCTGATTTCGGAGGATGCACTGTGTCAAGGTCTAAGTCCCGACCTTGTGTTGTTTATGCTCAGCCATACATACCGGTACTTAAAATCCTCCACGCTGACCCAGGATGTCCCTGGTTCTGCCTCAACATATTGGCAGTAATTGCCGGAGGATGTTGCAGGATTGAGGCAGTGGTCACCCCTCCAAGGACCACATTCAAGAAATAACAGGATTTTGCAGAATTGGGGCTGTATGCTATTTTTACATGAAGGCAGTTGGAGGATTTTGCAGGATTGAGGTTACATCCTAGCAAAAATGCCTAGTAAGTAAGGGTTAAAGAGAAAGACAGGATCACATGATAAATCCTTTTTCCAGAAAGGTCTCTTTTAAAATGAATTGTAACTCAGTTTGGATTTGAACCAAAGATAAGATTGTCTGTCAAGAGAAAACACCACGAACGAGAAGATTGTATGCATCTGTGATGCATTGTTTTGAGTCCGCGCGATGTCCGTGCAGCTGCTTCATTCAAGAGGATCAATAACACTAAAGACCCTGAAAAAGTCAACGACCGTAAAACCGTGGATATTGACACCCTGATGGGCTGAAACTTCATCCGTCCAGAAGATCACGGGAATTCCCATATCCTCCATTCCCTAAAGGCCTACAAATCTCCAATTAATGTAGACACTCAAGAACTGATTGCTTCTTTCTGCTTTTCGCGAGAAGATCTCGGCAAATCCGCAGATAGTGTAAGACGATAGTTGCAGACTGGGGACGGACAATCCAACTCTTAGTTTACGCCGTTAGCTCTAGTTGGACAGATCATTATTAATACAGATGATGAAAAGTCTCAAATCTAGCCCAAATATCAGGTTTTTGTGTCTACCGGGCGTCAAGCTGACTTGATATGTTTGAGCTCATCGAAAGCAAAAAAGGAGCATAAGCAAAGGCCAGAAAAATCTTACAGAGATCATGGTATTGATCTTTCGGTCTCAAGGCAAAGAAGTTTATTCCACTGACCTTTCAATTTGGCTGAATTTCACTAAGCTTTTCCAGCGGTTTTGTTTGTCACAACTAGAAGCTCAGTTATGGTCAGATGCTTTTCGCCCACTTTCAATTAAAAGTTGCCACAAAGCCGTCATCAAAAAGAATTTGACTTTCAAGAAAACAGTGGGGCAGATAGGGTAGATATTTGGGGGATTGTGCCTTTGATGATACAAGCATGGCATTTGGCACACATGTCAGAGTAAAGATTCTTGGCTTTATAACACCTCACCCACAGATTCTGTGTCTTGATTCGCCGAGAGCGAGTCACATGATACTTTCTATTTTTGCTATCTATCCGTGCATGGCAAAAAGTACTATACCCGTAGCAACCAAAGTACTATACCATTAGCAACCAAAGTACTATAGCCACGGCGTGGTATTTGTGTGCAACTGCATGCTGGTGTGCGCGTTGCGTGTTTTGTTCCAAAGAGAGCGCGCCACAGAGTTGGGTTCAACCATTTTGTGAAGGGGTAGTTTGGAAGAGAGAAATACATTTTCCACCAATTTTGTATTGAAATTGAAGTTTATTTCAACTGTATTCAGATTCAAATAATTTAAAATGTTAAAACCAAGCAGAATCTGTGGGTGAAGTGTTATAAAACAAATAGTGAATGCTTTATCTCGTGCTGTAGTAAAACTAGCCTCCCTCGGTGATCCATGGAGCATTCTATTTTCCCTAATAGAAATAGAATGTCCATGGATCACCTCGGGAGGCTAGTTTTACTACACCACTCGAAGCATTCAATATTTGTATAATAGGGCCATCGCAAATTTGTCCTTTGAAAAAATATAAGTACATTAGTAGAATATACAAGCAATTTTCAAAATGTTCTAAATGGTTACCATTGCTTGTTATTCCACCTATATTTTTTCAAAGGACAAATCTGCGATGGCCCTATAGCCAAATATATCTTTCTCATGACATACTCTGACTGTGTGCCAAATGCCATGCTTGTATCATCAAAGGCACAATCCCATCGCCTATCTGCCATGCTATTAACATGTTTGGGGTTTTAGTTTGATAAAATGCACGCACTAATAATGTAATTCTTTCCTACATTGTATAATCATCACATTTCAATCACTACAAAATGTTAAGACTATTTTGTGGAACCTTGACTGCAAGAATCCCATGTTTATTCTGCATAATTCCGTACTCCTGTTTATTTTTCCCCAATAAATTTTAGATGTAATTAGCTGTTTCGGTGACACACCGAAACAGCTCTTGTTTTCGTTAAGATTTTTTTTTTTTTTTTTTAGCTGTTTCGGTGACACACCGAAACAGCTCTTGTTTTCGTTAAGATTTTTTTTTTTCTTTTTTTTTCTTTTTTTTTTTTTTTTTCTCCTTTTTCAGACTTTTTCTCCATAGGTTTAACACACGTTTCTTCCACCAGTCCACTTTGCCACTTTTTCAAATCCGATTGATTCGAGACTTGATACATACTTAGACCACCACCCACAGATGGTCCTAGAAGAAATTTGTGACGGTGACGTCATCAGGTGTCGGGTTACGTCACATTAAAGATGCATTTTTCCCCATATGTTTTGTACACGTTTTAAAACACTCCAGTTTGGCATCTTCGTAAATCCGATCGACTTTAAACTTGATTCATACTTAGAACACCACCCACAGATGGTTCTAGACGAAATTCGTGATCGTGACGTCATCAAGTGTCAGGTTACGTCACATTAAAGATGCATTTTTCCCCATAGGGTTTGTACATGTGTTAAAACGCTTCATTTCGGCACTATTGTAAATCCGATCGACGTTACACTTGGTACACACTTAGACCATTACCCACAAATGGTCCTTGAAGAAAT